GCAGGTGGCTTCTGAAAACTGTTAAGGAAATCAGCTCTCCCTTGGAACCTGCAGCGGGGAGCACAACCCTGCTGACACATTGATTTTAGCCTAGTGAGATGTGTTCAGTAACTGTGTGATAATAAATTGTATTGTTTAAGGTACCCAGTCTGTGGTAATTAGTTATAGTAGCATAGAAAACTAATATAGAGAGTGAGATTGTCCTGCCATTTGGCAGTGCTGTGATAACTAGAGAATAGATAAAAGATGACTAATTCTAAGGGGATCTTTCATTGTGTGGGGGTTTCCTCAGAAATCTGAATCCCTTAACCAGAAAATAATGTAATTTCCCTAATGCCTTATAAGTGGAGTCCCATGTGTGGTAAAGGTCTGTTTTAAAGTTCTGCTTTTGTACTAAAAACCAAAGTCAGCACTCTGTCAATTTAAAAATGGAGAAAAGGCATGAACACCCTCTGCTGGTAGTAGCTGGAACAGATTTTGGTGTTGGATTCTGGTATATTCTGGGACTAGTTAACCGGTTTTGAGGGCAACCAAAGGTGGGGTCTCTGTCTGGAGAGAATTGCATCAGCTTTGGAGAGTAATGGAGCAAACTTAGCTGATTGTTTTAACAGTGAGTGATTGCAAAGTACTTCCTTTGGTTGATTTGTTTKTTGTTTTTGATAAAAACTCATTAAGAATATGAGATGTGTAAGACAAACTCCTTTTCCCAGTTAAAAAGCTAACTAGATCAGAGAAGAAAAGAAAAACCAGTATCCAGGATGCTTACTCAACAAGAAAATTTATTCAGAGATTGAGATATAATTTGTCTTAGTAATTTAGTTTTTGAAATTTTAGTCAATCAGTGATAAGAAACTTATACAAGAATTTTTAAAAACTGTTGTAGAGTTTGTATTTCTGATTTTTAAAWTTGACATTTAAAAAAAAACCTCCTGAAATAATTTTGTTTTTCTGGATTTGTCCTTCATGCAAAAGAAGGTTGGTTACCATCAGCTTAGAGCTTTCCTATTTGAATCTGACAACTCCATTCTCCCCCTTTAACCTGCTCCCTCCCATTATGACAGACATATCAGTGCATGGAAGTTAGGCARGAAGGGGAGGGCAAAGAAAAGGGGCTTATTTAGAGTTTCAGTCATTTTATATAAACAACACATTTATACATGACATGTTTTTATTTATCTAGATATTTCTTCTTCCTTTTCTTCTTTCTCAGAGCTGAGGATTGAAGCCAGGGCCTTGGTCATGCTAGGCAA